CGCTGGCACCACCATCAACAATAGCTAATGTTTCAGACCAGCCAAGGTCAGGTGGGAGCAGCTGGCTCATCCAAACGGGAAGCCAAAAAGAGTTTTATGAAGGGACTGCATAGAGGGAAGGGCAGGAACACATGGACCAACTAGACTTGTTAACACAGCCTGGGAGGAGCAGCAGCCGGAAGCCAGGTGCTCCTGAAGGCGAGGGTAGGGAGGGTCCCCAGAACAGGGGGGACTTAAAACATCCAAACAGCCATGGCCCAGACAGGATCTGCAGCCTCAGGTGGGAATGTGCCTTAAGGTGATCCAGCATGGTGGGAGCCTGGAAACAGAATGCACTCCCTTTCTCCTCAGCCCCTCACCCCCACTGCTGGACTCAGCAGGAAGCTGAAGGTGGAGAGCTCAGCAAAGCTTCCTGGGACACAGGGCAGGGTAGTTGAAGGCACACATTTTGGAGCCCTGGGCACTGTCCTAAGTACTTTACATGCATTCACTCATTTAATCCCCACCATGGCCCAAGGTCGAGTGGAACAATATGCATTATTTAATTTGTTCTTGCTCTCTTTTTTCCTGTTTGGCTGGGTGCACACATAGAGTTGAATTTGCATGAGCTAAAGGTTGTGTGCTTCCCCTGTGTGGCTGTCCTGAAGGGTCAGACCACACAGAGGAAGGCAGGGAGATGAGGCTAAAGAGGACCCAGGGTCAGACCTAGAATTTTCCTCTCATGCCCCAGACAAGGGGCCTGGACTCCCTCTTCTTCCTGCCATATAGGCCTAAAGCACAGAACCAGTAGAGAATGCTGATGTTAGGTGGAGGGGACCAGACGCAAGGTCGGGGGGGGGGGGATGTGATAAAGAGACCCCCCAACAGTTATTTGTAGATGGTGGGCTCCTTTAGGACTTCTGTGCCCATTATCAAGAGGGACTCTAAGGAAAGGAAAAGCTTTTTAAATTTAGCTGGAGAAAGAAAACATGGTGTCTTATACACAGTAGGTGCTCAATAAATGTGTATTAGACAAATGCATACAGAAAAGGTTGTATCTGGTAAATGGATGCCACGTGGTGGTTTTAAAAAAGCAGAGGTTTTGAAGCTAACAGACATAGGGTGAAGTCTCAGCTCTGCCACTTCTCTGAGCCCCTATTTACTCATCTGTGAAATGGGGATATGTAATATTGTTCATCCACCTCAAAGCGTTGTCTATATGTAAAGACAGTGCATGTAAACTTCCTCGGTCAGATGTGGTGAGCAGTCAGTTAATAGAGTCTGCCCTGAATGAGGGAGCTGGGCAAAAAGGGCCTCAGGCTGGGAGGCTCTTGAGGAGGCTCTGGGCTGTACATGGTCAGGAAAGACTCTAGAAGAAGGGGTTTGCACTCCCCTTAAATGAAGGTAGGGTTCATGGGAGAGGAGGGAGGACAGTCCATCTTGTGTGGGTCTGGGACTTACTCTTCTGTGACAAACTGAAACTGAGCTAAGAAGAAAGAGATCCAGAAGGCTTTGGCAGGTGTGTGCTGAGGAGTGATGGGGAGGTGGTCACCCAGGATTGGGCCAAGAGGTTGGAAGGAAAGCTCCAGACTAAAGCAGCTGAATTCATTTGTCATTCAGTAAACACCACTGAGCACTGGGCACCTGCGTGCACAGCACCGAGTGCGGGTATTTTACACGTACCTGAGCGCAAGGTATTGGGAGATGCCACAAAGTGTCCGAGAGCAGGTGCTCTGAAGCTGATCTTTGGACCGCTGCTGGACAGATCCTCCTGACGAGTTTGCTAGAATCCAGACTCCAGGAGGAGGGGATACCACATAACTTTTTTTAATTATTTAAAAAGTGAGTGGGTGGGTGGAGAGAGATTAACCAAAGAATTTATATGCATATATGCATAACCCAAGGACAGAGACAATAGTGTGGTGAGGGACTGGGGAGGGGTGTGAGGTTGGGGTGGAAAGGGTCAGTGGGAAGAAAAAGGAACATCTGTAATATTTTGAACAATAAAAAAAAATTTTTTTAAAGAGTAAACATGAAAGAAAAAAGAAATAAATAAATAAAAATAAAAAGTGAGATTTGAATTATGGTGGTGACATTACTGCCTGAGAGGCTTCCAGAGAAAGTTCCATCTTTCTCAGTTGTCTTTCTCAGTGCCTTTTAAAGTCCAAAGAGTAAGGTGTGAGTGTGTGTTGTCACTTGGGTGTGGTCCGAAAACAAAGCAGAGACATTTCCAGATGAGTAGCGACAAGACCTCCATGTTGATTTATCACTTAGATTTGTATTTAAAGAGCATTCCACATAAACCATATGTGTTTCCCAGCTGTTATGCTACATGGATAATTTTTTGAATGGATGCATTGAAATGATAGAGGTAGATGGATCATTCTGAGTGAGGATGGGGAGGTTCCAGTGTTTTGGGAAAGGGTCTGTTCCGCAGCAGCCTGAGTCCTACTTAGGAAATGGAGGAGATGACCCTGGAGAAGCAGGTCAGGGCAAAACTCAAGACCAGGATTTAAGTGACCTAACTGGTGAAAGTGAGTGGACATCAAGCTGAAGAGCTGAACTTTGCAGCTGCTTCAGGAAACTGGTAGGATGTGATTTGTGGGTGGAGGCCTCTGGATGCAGTGGTCAGCATTGGACGGTTGCCTATTAGGACTGACACCCAGAAATAGGCTCCTGTCCACAAGGACCATCTCCAAGTGACCTGTGCTTATCTGGGAAGGCAGAATCCTAGGCTGTAATGTTGGAAATTGCTTTTGTCTTCTACTCCCCCTTTTTACTCAATGCATAAATGCTGCCTACTGAGGACAGCGAGAGGCATTTCTGCAAGGAGGGGTGGGAGAGAGGGTCAGCCTTAAGGCCTCAGCCAGCAAGAGATTCTCTCTCCTATCCTTTCTCTCATGAGCCCCCATGGCGGGAGTGGGGCTAAGCCCTTCTTTGGTCAGAATGTTCTCACTCCAACCAGAGCAGATGGAATTTTTATGCTCCCCTTGGAGAGCAGAACATCCATGGTTCAGAGTCATTCAATAGATGTTTTGTTTTCTTGCTCATTATGGACCAAGTCAAAAGGGTCTCTCAGCAGTGCAGAGGAAAGAGATGAGGATTGTACATAAGGAAGAACTTCTTGAGAGCAAAGGCTTGAAAATTTTGGCCTAAAGAGGCCCTGGAGTTTTTCCCCGGAAGGCCTGACTCACTCACACAGTGCTACAGTAGGAAGAGTGTGGGCTTTGGAATCAGATAGACCAGGGTTCAAATCTTAGCTCTGTCTCTTATTAACTGGGACCTTGGGTGAGTTGACTTAACCTCTCTGACCTTCAGTTTCCTCATCTGCAAAATGGTGTGAGACTATTGGTCTCATACAGCTGTGAGATAAACAAATGGAAGCCAAGAAAAGCTCCAGAATCAAAGCTCTGCAAAAATTATTGCCCTTCCCCTTCTGTTCCCATGATTCCCTTCCTCCCATCTGACTGTGTGAGCATACCAGGAGGGGGAAGGGGGGAAGCGGTGGACAAATCCATTCTAAATTTATTTATTGGCCACTTGCGATGCATTAAGCACAAGGCATTTAGAACAAATGGACCTCATGCTTGCCATCATGGGGTTTTCTGTCTGATGAAAGAAACCAATTCGCAAAAAAAGGATGCCTTGAATTACAAATTGTGACTGCTCTAATGAAGGAATTAGAGCATCTCTGGGGGCTGGAATGGGTTCTGTTTGGGTAAGTGAGCAGGAAGGCCTTCCTGAGAAGGAAGCCAGCGATGCAGGGAAAGGGGAAGCAATCTAGGCAGAGAGAACAGTACATGCCAAGGCCTTGAGGCTAAAGCAAGTATGGACCATAGGAGGCACTAATTAGAGGCCTGTGTAACCAGGACTAGTGGCAGGAGATGAAGTTGGGCTTTGATAAGTCAAGATGAAGAATTTGGATTTTATTTTAAGTAAAATGGGAAGCTATTAAGCAAGCAAGTGATATGATCCAATTTATCAAGATAATTCTGGCCTTTGATCCTAGGGGAGTTTAGAATTGTTTTCTGCTTAGATTCCTCCACCACAGAGAAATGTGGGCAGCCCAGGCCTATCTCAGGAGGTCTCTCATCCCTCTCATACAGGCCCAGGCAGAGGCGGAGAGAGAGTACAGGCGGTGCCTTCATAGAGATGAGCTTGGGAGGTGCCCATTTATGTGTTATGTGCAAGATCCCTGGCTACCACCCTACGATTTAGTACCACCCTGGACCAACAGTGATCCCTTGAGTCTCTAACCTTGCTCTCTTACTCAGTCTCGGGCTGAAGAGGAGCCAAGGATACAGTGTGTAGAGATTCACACTGAGCTGTCCCAGGGAGTGGAGTTCAAGGCTCCTGGTTCCCCAGCTTCCCTGGGACTGAGATGCTAATGAAACAGCTCCTGACCCTGACCTTGGAGTCCCAGCCATTGACGTCAGCAAAGATGAAATAATGTAACTTGACTCTACCCCTGGGGGGGGGGGCACTCAGGGACCTGGGGAGGGGAAGGAGTGGCGAGAAGTCAGTGCCAACCAAGCTTAGGCCAGGAAGGGACAGGGTGGAGTTGCCCCTGGCATTGATGACACGGAAGAACTCAGTGGTGGGGTGCTTCCAGCGGGTGGGATGTGCTACCTGAGCGAGTGGCCCAAATCCTTTCTGAAAGCAGTCATCCGGCACTACAGCCACCATCAGGTAAGACCAGGGAGCCAACACTGTTGTCACTCTGGACACTGAACAGGCAGCACTGCTGTCATGGGGTGTATTGTTCTCGTGTGCAGATGCGTGTGCACCCACCTGGGGCGAGGCTTGGCCTGCCACATCTGGATGTGCAGAGGTGCTCCTATGGCCATGCATGTGATATGCTGGGGTGAGAGGGCCAGCCTGGCCTGTGGCTTTCCTCCTCTCCTCACAACCCCAGCCCTGAGGAGATGCTGAGGAGGTCTCCAGTGGTGGTTTCCCCCTCCCTGGTATTTTCTATGGGGGTGCTGGGCCTGGGCCTGTAATTCTGCTCTTGGGTTTTCTAGGTGGATTTTCTGATTGAAAATGACGCCGAGAAGGACTATCTCTATGATGTGCTGCGGATGTACCACCAGTAAGTGTGCTGAGCCTAGCTCCTGTGGACCACTGGGGTAGTTCTATCTGTAGGGAGCCCTGGGATGGGTTGTTCTGAGACAGGAGGACTTCCCCATCCCATCCTGGGGAGCTCAAGGGTGGGACAGATGCTCAAGGTTCCTGGGAACCAAATGGACATGCCATTCACTTGTCTTGGCAAATATTTGCACAAACACTCTGTGTGCAGCTCTGTACTAGGGGCTGGGGCACACATGTGAACATGACAGACTGGTTGCTCACAATATGATGGGGGAGGCTGTCAAATAGCCAGATACATTCAATAGAGTGTGACTGCTGAAAATGGACAGGAAATGCCAGCTGGCCCCAGCACCTGCGTCAGATGTCTCTTATCACCCACCTGCTTTTTCATTCATTCAGCATACATTTATAAGCTCCTGCCACTTGGTGGGCATAATGCAGGCTCTGGTAATGAGTAAGATCTGCTTTCTCTCCTTAACTAACTCACGACCTAGAGAGGGGAGGTGGGCAGACACTGCAAACACAAAAAACTCTAATATAAATTACAGTAAAATAACTTCTAAATATAATTAAAAGCAAGATGTGAAGAAAGGGAGTTTTCCTTTCTAATCATGGGGGAAAGGACCAAAAATCATGGGTTTGAAGGGTAAGAAGGACTTTGGTAGGTAGAAATATTAAGGAGGGACATTCCAGGATGAAGGATCACCATTAGCAGACACGAGACGAAGATGTGAAAGCACAGGCATGACTGGGAAGTGACAAGTAACCTGGGGGAGTAGAGCAGGGGCTCATGGAGACCATGAACAGCCACGGGCCTGGAGCAGGTCCATGGAGAAGGTCAGGGAGGCCCTGAGGCTGCCAGGGAGAATGGATTGTGTCCTCTGGGCAGTGGGGAGCCATCAAAGGGTTTTGAAAAGAGGAGTGACTTACATTTAGGAAAGATTAGATGAGAGTGCCCGGCTGGGCGTGGCTCAGGGGTTGAGCATAGACCTAGGATCCAGGAGATCAGGGTTCGATTCCCAGTCAGGGCACATGCCCGGGTTGCGGGCTCGATCAATGACACTCTCATCATTGATGTTTCTCTCTCTCTCTCCCTCTCCTTTCCTCTCTCTGAAATCAATAAAGATATATTTTAAAAAAAAAAAAAAAAAGATTAGATGAGAGTGAGCAAGTTGGCAGATAGCTGGAGAGATGTAGGCTGGAGACACTGAGGGCCTGAACAGTGTGAGGAGAAGGCATGTGAGAGATATAGTGAAGGTAGAATTTACAGAGTTTAGCTACAGATCAGAAGTGGGAGACCGGGGGGAGGGGTCCCCACCATCTCACAGAGATTTCCTGTCTGGAGAGATCCTGGGCTTCAGATCTGAGTGGAGTTTGAATCCTGACTTGATTTCATTTGCAAAATGGGTTAATAATCCCTACCTCCCCAGTTTCCTTGTGATACTTACATGAGAGAACAAAGCTCTTCTGAGACATCCTGGCTAGCCCAGAGTTAGGGGCACTGGGCTTCTCAGGAGAGTTCACCTCCTGGGCCCAGTAGCTGGGGACCCAGCCCAGGACTGCTTTCTCTGGGACTCTTTGGGTCTCGGAAGTCATGGTCATGGGTAAGGCTCCAGGTGTCCCCCTTGTCTCTGCAGGACCATGGACGTGGTTGTGCTTGTGGGAGACCTCAAGCTGGTCATCAACGAGCCCAGCCGCCTGCCACTGTTTGACGCCATCAGGCCTCTGATCCCGCTGAAGCACCAGGTGGAGTATGACCAGCTGACACCTCGGCGATCCAGGTGCGGAGGGAGCCCCCAGGCTAAAGGCAGGGGGTGGGCGAGGTCACTCTGGGATGGACAAGACCACTCACCAATGGATGGGGCAGCCCTGGTGGTCAGGCCAGAGCTGGGCCATCACTGACCTCTCCTATGCAGGAAGCTGAAGGAGGTGCGTCTGGACCGTTTGCACCCCGAAGGCCTCGGCCTCAGCGTGCGTGGAGGGCTCGAGTTCGGCTGCGGGCTCTTCATCTCCCACCTCATCAAAGGCGGGCAGGCAGACAGCGTTGGACTGCAGGTGAGCAAGCAGAGTCCTCAGGCATCCTGCCTCCCTCTCACTCACCAGGCTATGTGGCATATCATGGTTGCCTCACCTTTCTGAGACTTTGGGAGAGGATGATAGATTTTCCTCAGGCAATTGCCTGTTTTGTTGGTTGATTGTTTCTCTTAATCATCACATACAGGTGTTTTTTCCATTGCTTTCCAGAGAGTGGAAGGAGGGAGGTGGGGGGAGGGAGAAGAAGAGAGAGGGAGAGGGAGAGAGAAACATCGATGTGAGAGAGACACATCAACTGATTGCTTCCCGTACGTGCCCTGACCAGGGCCAGGGAGCAAACCTGAAACCCAGGTACTTGCCCTTGACCAGGAATGGAACCCAAGACCCTTCAGTGCTCGGGCTAATGCTCTAACCACTCAGACACACAGGCCAGGGCGCAATTGCCTGTTTTCTTGAGTCATGTTGGGACCATGGCTCCCACCTGCTGCTGCCGCAATGCCCCGCACCTCCTCTACTTCCTAGTTATGTCCTGACACCTGAAGCTTCGGGCATGTAGCTTTAACTGGGAGGAAAAGGAAATCCTGGTGCAGTATCCTGATTTCCTGGCTTTGCTCTCCATTAGCAATGTGATTGGTGAAGACACTTAACCCCATGCCTCAGTTTCCTCATCTGTAAAATGCGGGTGGTGATGATACTATCCACCTCATCAGGTTGTTATGAGGAATAAGTGAATTCATATTATAAAGTACTTATAACAGTGCAGTGCCTGGCGCATAGTGCTATGTGCTTGTTAGGTAAGTAGAGAGGGAGACTGAATAAACACCTAGAATGTGCCAGGTAACATGCTCAAACCAACCCTCATTACAGGCCTTGGCTGTATCATCCCATTTACAGAGCTGATAGAGGCTTAGTCTTGATGAGTCACAGCCAGCAAGTGGCAGAGCCAGGATTTGAACCCAGGTCTCTTGACTGCCAAGCCCAGGGATCTCTCTTCAGCACCCCAGCCCTCCCCTCAGATCCCCACACCTCAGTGTCTAAGCAGAGATGGGCAGACCTCCAGGTCTCCTCCTGCTAGAGCCCAGAGCTGTGTTTTTGTATGGCCAGATAAAAGAGGCTCTCCTACCCCCTCCCAGAACTTCCAGCACTTTTGCTATCAATACCCCAATCTGGGCGGCCAAGCCAGGGGCTTCAGGGGCCTGCAGGCGAAGGATACAAGACACCGTGGAGTGGGAGGTGGAAATTGGGAGCTGACAGATACCGCTTTGTTCTAAATCCCTGTCTCACGGCTCGCCGGGGACGTCTGAAATTTCAGCCACTTCATTATTCCCCTCCTGTGTGGCACATTTTCCAGCCCAGAAATGCAGCCAGAGAGAAAGCATAATGAGCTCCTCTCCTGGCGTCAGCAGAGGCCTTCTTTTTTCCAGAGCAAGCTTTCCTTGTAGGACAAGCACTTCTCAAAGATGCCTCCATGATCGGGGGCATTCGGGCATATTCATGAAGCAGAGCTTTATCTTCCTGCCTATTTCTCAGGCTTATGAATTATCGACCCTTTCTCGGGCTGACGGGCTCATCTCTCCATTGTGCCGCTGTCCCTCAGATCGTCATTTCACTGTGACCTTTGCACAAAGGGCCTTTTGCAGGGCTCCATGCGGGAGCAAGAGCGAGAGGAAAGCTGATCCAGCAACCTGAGCCGGAGGCTGTGTGGGAATCATTCTCACTGGGGTCCTGGGCAGGTTCCCTTTAGGAACAAGACAGGGAACTTCACTCAGAGGCACTGGGGGAAATGTCTGCATCCATTCACCTGTCTGGGTTCATGTTTCTAAGGAGTTCTCATGCCTGAGTGGGGCTGGAGGAAGATTCTGGAAAGCAGGGGAGGGGCATGTTCAGACACAGCCTGGCTGGATTGAAGGCCCTGCTGATCTGACCTGTGAGGCTGGGCCCCTGGGTTGGTGGGGGGCTTGGACCCACCAATGGAACCTAGCCCTGGAACCCCATCTCTCTGTTCTTATCCCCTACTGGAGATATTTTAGATCTTTTTTTTCAAGTGTATCCTATTTGAACTTAACGGTGGTCTTGTGCTGCACAACTCGCTGTATGGTCCAGGGCTGGAGAATGATTCTGCATGCCTTGGTTGTCCTAGCTATAAAGTGGACAAAACAATGCCTGCCTTTTCTGTGGGACTTGAGGGCTCTGACAAGTGGCAAGGATCCAGAGAGGGCAAGAACACAGGGAACTGCAGCAGGCTTGGCCGCCCTGCTTTTCTGCTTCCACACGCACAAGGGACAACACTTGTGGTCTGTCAGGGAAACCTTACTCAAATCCCAGCAACACTGTTTTCTGGCTGGGTGACCTTAAGCAAGTGACTTCACCTCTCTGAGCCTCCATTTCCTCATCTGGTTAACAGAAATGCAGAATTGTATAAAGTGGGTGCAGGAGCTAGTAGCTGTTCTTACAGGAGATGGCCACAGAAAACTAGACAGCTCTTCAGTGGATCCTTCATTATGGCACCTTTTTGAACCCCTTGCCACTCCTGTCAGGCCCCGAAGAAAGTTAGGGTGTGTCTCCAGGTGTGGAAAAGAAGCGTTCAGGTGGCAACAGTGAGAAGGTGTCTCTGTGGCAGTGCTGTAGAAGGTAGGAATTGACACTCCCTCAAAAGCTGTCTGCCCGCCCAGCCCCCAGGCCCTAGAGAGTCAGCAAGTCTCCAAAGGGTCAGCACATGTGGTGTGAGCTAAGCACCCAACTCACCTGCGCTGGCTTCAGGCTGGAGAGGGCTATCCAGGATCCAGTCCCTGTTTTATAGCTAATGGCTATGTGACCTTGGACAAAACATCACTCCCTGGGACTCAGTTGATGTCTGAGGCTCCTTCTAGCCGTGCATTTATTAAACGAGGAGCTTCAGACCTGATCCCCAGGGCCAAGGTACTTGGAGGCGTCCAAGGCAGTGTCCAGTAGGGGCAGTCTCACCACAGATCTGTATCCAGGACTGGCCCTGCAGGCATCTGAGCCCCCATCTCTCCCAATCTAACAAGACTTAAATCCTGAGAAGAGGGATCTAATCAGAATATTTAGAGCTCAGGCTCAGCTAATAACAATAACAGCCATGTATTTATTATTTGTGGGGTGCCAGGCGCTGGCTGGCTTTACACATATATTTTCACAGCAACCACAGCATTTCCCCATTTTACAGATGAGGGAAACAGGTTCAGAAAGTTCAGTAGACTCGCCCAAGGTCACACAGCTAATAAGAATAAGAGCAGGGGTTTGAACCCAGGATATCTGATGCCAAAGCCTTGTGTTGCTGTTATTTGTTCACGCCCAGAATGGGAATTCAGAGGTCAGGGCTGTGGCAGATTAAATGTCCATCAAGTTTGCATTGAATGGAAAAAGAGAGATCGTGTGTGTCAGTGATGTGCGCTTGAGTCAGGAAGTTCCCCACCCAGACTGCATTACTGTGTTGCGGGGAAGCCTGCTCCTTGGGGCGGGATGGGACAAAGGCCAGGGAAGAGCTGCTTGAATCTGGGTGAAAGGTCACCGTCTGGATGGATTCTGAAACCTGTTGGTGCCCCAATGGAGTAAAAGAGACACCAGAGTGAGGGTACAGAGTCTTGAGTTTTACTCCCAGCTCTGCTACCCACTCTCTGCACCCTCCCCCACCATCTTGGTCTCTCCATCTGTAAAATGGGGTGGCAGAAAAACTGCTTGGAAGTGCCACCGTCCTGGGATCCCTCGGGCTGTCTGAGGGTGGGTTGGTTGTGATGGGGCCCTAGGGCATATATCAAGGTTTCTTCCCAGGGAAGCAGGGCCTCACCCTCTTTCCTGGAGAGCAGGCCCGGGGCATCTGACAGTGAGCCTGCCCACCTGCCCCACTCGCCCTCAACCTGGTGCCTGTTCCCTCTGTCTGTGGCCAAGGTAGGGGACGAGATCGTCCGGATCAATGGGTATTCCATCTCCTCGTGCACCCATGAGGAGGTCATCAACCTCATCCGCACCAAGAAGACCGTGTCCATCAAAGTGAGACGTGAGTGAGGCCAGAGGGCAGGGTCAGGAGGTGGTGCTGATGGTGGTGTAGGGTGGGGTAGGCAGCAGGCAATCAGCTCCTGGGGGAGGAAGGGAAGGCAGAGGAGCCATGCTAACCCCCATGCCTTTCTCCCACAGACATCGGCCTGATCCCTGTGAAGAAGTAAGCAGAACCCTCCTCTGCAGGCAGACTCTTCCCTGTGGGCTCAGGGTCCTGGGGTCTGCCTTCCCACAGGCCAGCACTGCCCCTGGGCCAGCAGTGACTGGGGCTCCAGATGAGGCCGATCTGGACTTGGGGCCTGGTCCCTCAAACATCTCTCTTTAATGACCCCCCTTCTCCATTCCCTTCCCATCAGCTCTCCTGATGAGCCCCTCAAATGGCAGTATGTGGATCAGTTTGTGTCAGGATCTGAGGTAAGTGCCGGGACCACCAGTGATGGGGTCTGGCTGGAATTTCAGGGAGGAGCAGCTGGTCCTGAAAGGGGGCTTTCTCTAGGGATGTGCCCTCAGTGGCTTCACACAGGTCCCCAGCACATCTGGAAAGCTCCTGTGGGTGATGGGCCCTCAGCTGAGCCCAGAGACACCTCTCCCCAGGAACAGAATGGCCGTCTGGCTCACGTGGGGACAATAGTGCTTATGAGCTCAACTGGCCATTTGCACACACATGACACCTAGTGACCCTTATTCTCTTTCCTCCAGGGTGGGCGGAACATCATGGGCTTCCCAGGGAGTCGGGAAAACAAGGAGAAGAAGGTCTTCATCAGCCTGGTGGGCTCCCGGGGCCTTGGCTGCAGGTGGGCAGGGCTCACTCACGCCCGCAGACCACAGTAGGCCCCTAACACCTCTCCCTTTTCTCACTGATGATTCTGAGGAAACTTTCATCCACTGGTGATGATACATCTTGGTGCCTAATTTCCCCTCTGAGCTTCACAACAGCCCTATAAGGCCAGGGGGATAGCTCTTAACAGGCCCATTTTACAGATGAGGAAACTGAGGCCCAAAGAAGGAGCCATGTTTCTTTGGTGGGCCCTCGAGTCACTATAAAGGAAGCCTGTCCTGCTGGTCATCTCTGTCACTGTTCTCTTGTCACTTATGACCTTGTGGGCTTCCTTAAGAGGCAGGGAATTGCAAACAGGCATTAGATCACACAACATACCCTTATTAAGCACACAGGTGCTACAGTCATCAATCCAGTGGTCAGCCCCTGCTCTGGCACCTATGAGCTCCAGAACCTTGGACTAGTTACTTAACCACTCTGAGCCTCAGTTTCTCCCTCTATAAATTGAGGATAGTAAAATCCACATTGTAAGGAGGAATGAGATGACAGAAGTAAAGTACCAAGCTTAGTGCCTGGCAAATAATAAGCAGTTGGTAAATATTAGCTATTATTATTTAAGTCGTTCTTATTGTTTCCATTCATTCACACTTACTCAATACTTTTCCGCCAAGTAAGTGATAAAAAGTCCCTCCTTTCTAAGAGATTGCAGCCTAATATCAAAGCCAGCCATATAAATATAGTATAGAGTGACAAGGATGCTAATGGAACTGTATTCTGCATCATGGATGGCAAATAGGTTTCCAATCATGTGCTACCTCTAATCAGTTAGTAGTGGTTGCCTGGTGTGCTATTTTGTTTTTTTTTGGGGGGGTTGGGTTTTTGTTTTGTTTTTTTAATATTACAGATTTCCCTTTTTGGTGTGCTATTTTGAAAAGAAACTCTCAGGCGGTATCTAGGCTTGGTGGGAAAGAGTGCTGTGATCGATTAGTGATGTCTGCCACTGATCTGGGAGAGGAGAGCAATAGGACAAGTGCCACCCTCGCTATAGGTGTTTTAGGAACACTGAGAAGGGGACAACTACCTTAGTCTCAGGATAGAAGAGGAGTTTAGTTAAAACCTTGGAGAGAAGATGTCATTTGAGTCCTAAGGAAAGAATAGGAAAGTGCTAGAAAAAGAAACAGCATATGTGATGTACTAGGTAAGGGGTTGGGCAGGGGCAGGGAGGATTACAAGTAGTTGTCTTGGCTGTTGCCACAGGTAGAGCCTTGGGTACTGAGCTCATGAGTGACCTGTGTCCTGAGGGGCAGGAGCAATGGACACACAGGCAGAGGGGCAAGACATTGAGAAAGAGTAAGCGCTGAAGGCAGAGGCTCACCAGCATTTCCCATCTCTCCCGCAGCATTTCCAGCGGCCCCACCCAGAAACCTGGCATCTTTATCAGTAACGTGAAGCCTGGCTCCCTGTCTGCTGAGGTGGGGTTGGAGGTGAGTGAGCCTGACTGTGATCACACAGTCATGGAAGCACCTGTCTTCCCACACAGCCCTCTCTCATCAGTCACTGGCTGATGATTCCTATCCACCCCTCAAATGACAGTACCATGGAAGGGGTGGCATTTCACCCTTTGTACAATCTTCTCCAGCTCTGAGAGCCTTTAGTCCCAAGCTTGGGAATGTAGTAATAATCAAAGAGTTGGTGTTCACTGAGTGTCTACTGGATCAGACATTGTTCTAAGCCCTTTAAAATTTATGAAACTCTGAGAATTAGGTACTATCATTATCCTCATTTTATAGATGAGGAAACTGAGACCCAGAAAAAATATGTGATCTTTCCAAGATCACGTACCTAGAATGGTAGGTCTGGGTCAAACCTAGGTGGTCTGATGCCAGAGCCAGAACTTTAACCTCTACTTTGGACAAATTACTTCCTCTTTTTACACATCAGATTCCTCTCCTATAAAATGGAGTAATAGCCTTACTCCTAGAGTCATTGTGTGGATTAAATGAATTAATACACATGCTTAGAACTGGCATATAGTAAGGGACTGATGAACGTTAGCTACCAATTATTATTATGACCCAACACAACCTCTGCTCTATGAGAAACCCGAAGTCTCCTAGGTCTACATACTGAGTTTTTAAAGCAAATGTCATAAATTAAGCCAAAGGAATGAACCTTTAATGATACAATATTTGGCAGCTGATGAAAAATATATGAGGTAGAGGGGCCCAGGGAGGAGCCCATTAGAGCTTTCTAACTGCTCTGCTCATCAGGGTGAGCTGAGGTGCAGGCACTTGAAGACCCAACATCTGCCCTCGGCCCCCAGGGTGAAGCTTTCCTGCAGCTAATTGAGGATACAGATAATGCAAACATGCTGATACCTCTCTATTCCTCCACCAGGCAGGGGACCAGATTGTCGAAGTCAATGGCATTGACTTCTCCAACCTTGACCATAAGGAGGTGAGATGTGGGATCTTCGCCTGCTGGCTATCACCTCTACCGTCCACTTCTCATCCCCTCGCCCTGCCATGGTGTCTGAACCTTCTGTGCTCTCTAGAGGCCTCGACTCCTCTGCTCTGTTAGGCCTCAACTGACTGTCCACCTGTCCCCACAGGCTGTGAACGTGCTGAAGAGTAGCCGCAGCCTGACCATCTCCATCGTAGCCGGAGCTGTAAGTGCACAGTGAGCCTCTGGGGGCTCCATGACCCCTGGCATCCAGGCCCAGCCACTCAGAGCCCTGATCTCCGCCACACACTCCCGAGAAGGGCCAAGGGGTCTCCGTCCCTGAAGCTCTGACAGAGCAGAGGAAGAGGGTCTCTGTCCAGCCAGGGCATGTTTGGGTCAGAGACAGTAGGAACCACAGCTCCTGACACTGGGGTCACGGTGATGAGAAGACAGCCCTCATCTTGGCCCCCAAGGCTGTGGCAGTGGGAGAACAGGTTCCTCAGGGGACTGAGCACGGGGCCTCTTTCTCCCCTTGAGGGCCGGGAGCTGTTCATGACGGAGCGGGAGCGGCTGGAAGAGGTGAGGCAGCGCGAGCTGCAGCGGCAGGAGCTTCTCATGCAGAAGCGGCTGGCCATGGAGTCCAACAAGATCCTCCAGGAGCAGCAGGAGATGGAGCGGCAGTGAGTGTAACCAGTTAGGACGCCCTTTCCCTACCCTCCCAGACCACCGAACGACCCTACCCACCTTGCTTCCGCTCATTGCGTCCTGAGTCGACCTCATCTTCTCCCCCTGAGGCCTGCCCTCAGAGCAGATGGATCCGATGGTGGTCAGCCTAAGCATCCCCTGCCTCCAGACCACCAAGCTCCTCCCTCCTTGCCAGAGAGAGTCCCCTATTTCCAAGACCCAGGAATATGGGGATGCTACTAGCAGTAGCTGACATTAGTTGAGTACCAACCATGTGGCTGGCATTGTATTATGGCCTCATGTATGTTACTTAATGTCATTCTCACAATAGCCCTGTGAGATGGATGATACTAACCCATTTTTCAGGCGAGGAGACTGAGACCCAGAGAGGGTAAGCCACTTGTGTGCAAAGTCACATGTAGCAAAGCTGGGATTCACCCCAGGTAGTCTGGCTGCCCCATCTATGGTGATGAGCCCCCCACCCCACATGGGGTGGTTGAGATGATGGGTTGAGAGAATAAATGGGGCAAGCAATTCATAAATGAAAAATAATGTCAAAATTTAAATCCAGGTACATTCTAGGAGCTTCATAAGAATTTAGAAAGGGAAGGTGGACAGGATTTTCCCAACTATCCCACCGCAGAATTAGCCTGGAGAACCACCCCTGCTGGTACCTCCGCCCACAGCCCTGGCCTTGGGTAATGGCCCACCTTTACCCCTGGGTTCTGGGACCCTCTTCCAGGAGGACCTCACTCAGGCCAGGCCCTGCCTATCATCAGTCACTTTATATAAGTGTTTGGAGGTGGGTGCATGGAGTGTGGCCCACATTGACCGGCATTCTAGCTCCTGCAGCACAGAATCTCTGCTTAGTTGTGTCAAACAAAACCACATAAGAGCACACAACCAGCATGCAAAGCTGGTCTAGGCATCCTTGGAAGGGAACCTGAAAGAAATACTTAAAACTTTTTCCAAATCAGGAGTTAGCTACAAGGAAGAGTTAACTTCTCTTGCATAGACTCGAGCATGCCAATCTGCATTTGTGTTTCAGAAGGAAAAAGGAAATTGCCCAGAAGGCAGCAGAGGAAAATGAGAGATACCGGAAGGAAATGGAACAGTGAGTGCCTCAGCTCCAGGAGTCCACACACGAGTCTGTGTGTGGACGTGAGTGTGCTCGCGGGAGTGTAGCCAGCCAGAGGCCACCTCTAGGCCCAGTTTACCTGGCCCTCTCGTACCTGGTGGATCCTCCTTTATTTATAGCCATTCCATAATCCCAGTAAAGCCCACCCTACTGGAGTAACTAGAACGTAGTCTTACATAATTGCAGGGTGGCATTCACCCTCGATTCAGAATACAAGTGCCAAGGACTTTGCTGTCTTCACCACAGCTACAGCCATGTGGCCTCTCCCCAGGCTGCTTGGGGTTTCCCCATAGGCAGAAGGTGGGCCCGTGGAGGCTCTGACTCCAGTCACAGGTGTGGGGGTCTTATTTCAGGATTGTCGAGGAGGAAGAGAAATTTCAGAAGCAGTGGGAAGAAGACTGGGGCTCAAGGGAACAGCTGCTCTCGCCCAAGACCATTGCTTCCGAGGTGCACCCAGTGTCCCTTCGCAAGCCAAAGTGTACGTATCATGTGCTGGTGGGAGAGAGGGCTTCCTTCTGACCAGGGGCTGAGGGGGGTCCAGATAGAGATGCTGGTCTCCCTTCACTCACCACACCTCCCCAGGTGAATCGTCCATGGCTCTGGGCTGCGTTTCCTTCGTGGAGGGGCAGTCATGTGCCAGGGGCTGTCTGACAGAGTATTGGGGTGGGAGGGATCTGTCTGCCCTCTTTGTCCTGGAGACCTGCTGTCAGGTTCTCCCCCCAGCACAGACACTGGCAGGTGGACCTTCCCCATGCCCTTCGGCTGCTAAAGAAAGATTGGAGAGCTGTAGCAGAAATGAACTGCTCGTGGGATTACTTTAGTTTGTTGGGTGTCCTATCTTCTTCCTGCCTGGTTCTGAATTGGGGCTGGCATGAAAGGGCAGCAGGAAACAGGGCAAGGAGCTCACATTAGAGAAGACTCTGGTGGTCCAAGGTTGATGGGCAGCTGTGAGAGGAGCTTACCTGAAGTGCCCCTACCACCTGCATCCCTGTGCACGGACCTTGCAAGGTTCCTCCACTCCAAGGATGGAATCAGGACTTCCAGGCACCAAACTATGGCCATCCTGTGGCCTTAGCTCCCTCTGCTCTTATCCCTTCTTCATCTGCACTATGTTTTCATCTCTAGTTTCGGTCCAAGCCTCAACCAACTGCTCTCCTTTCCACCTGCTCTCAACCCCAACTCCCAGAATGCCTCTTCAAGGGGCAACTCACAGCACTAGGGCAAAGTGAGGGGAAGGCCTCAACCTCAGTGCTTCTTAAGAGGGCTCGTGGTGGGGAGCCAGGAGCAAGGCAGCTTGGGTGTCATGGCAATCACAAGTCCAGGATGCCTGGTTGGGCCTTTACTCTTTATAGCTATTTCGATCATACTTGACATGGGGCAGGTTCTACTACAGCTGATTGTGCTCAGCCAACCTGGGAACCTCCAGATGTGGGGTGAATCTGTACCCAAGAACCAAGGTTCCCCATTTCTGCTTTGTGGTGGCCATTTGGGATCCTGTGATAGGGTCTGGATGCTCTGGCTCCAACTTTGAATCATGCCCAAGCCCTAGAGGGACATCAACTTGGGTCAGTGAAGAAATTCAAGGCACCTGGATGGTTCCATCTCACCCCTCCCTGGTGCAGGGCAAACAGCTCCCACCCAGCACATTCCTTCCTGGCAGTGGGCACAGTGTCATCTCAGGGTCTTCTCCGAAGGACAAAGCACACTCTCATCAGCCTTCCCTGTGACATTTGGTATTAGTTAAGGATGTGGCCAGAGCTAAATTCCCAGTGAATAAACTGTGTTTTAGACAGAGAGTTAATTTGCTCTTAATGCATGAAATAGGAGCTTCAGAAGGAGAGAAATCAATTTTAATTGCTTCTCATGAAAGTAATCCCAGTCAATTTAGTGCCTTCCTTGAAACTATGTCTTGGCTTCAGAGCAAATACACTCTTTCAGGAACGATAGAAAATAAAAACCCTTTCTCCAACTAGCTATTTATTTAGTGCTTTTAAACCAAATGAAGCTTCTTGAATAAAAGGAGTGAGAACGTTCCCTTTTTCAAGATATGTGTCCTAAAGCAACGCCGCGAAGCATGAGATTGATGACCAGAGTCTGCCAGCCCGAGCTGGAGCAGCTGCTGCCTCCATCCATCTCCATGCGCACCGGCAATTAATTCTCATTTGGAGATAAGTCAGGAAATGCAGGAAGGCCTCTGAGCAGCTCAGTTCCTGCCTTTCTCCACATTCCTGGGAGGCTGGAGTGGTCTCAGCCATGCCGGGCCAGCAGGACCAGGCCTCATTCAGGGCCTCCCTGACCACTCTTCAGCTCTGGAGCCCAGTTAGCTGACAGGTTATACCTGGCTCAGATGTCTGTGCCCAATGAGGGGTGGACCTTGCATTTTTGAACAGTAAGTAAAGAGTGTGAAACATTTCTTGCCTGGAAAATGAAGCCATTCATCCTAGTGATGTGGATGGAGCTGACTGTTCCCCTCACCACCACTGTCCCAGGGGCTCATCCTGCCTACCCATGGCCCAACATTCTGCCAAGCCCTTGAGTCCCGGGCACACATAGTCCCCCAGAAGAACTGTCTTAGCTAAACCAATGAGGAGGAGGGATTTTTATCCAGGATTCCAGAGCTAGAAAAAGCCTGGAGAGAAAAAAAGATTTAAACAAGATTTCCAGCCTTCTCTCACCATTAAGGACCGCATCAATTAGTCCCCACACCAAACAGGCCCTGTGGTTTGGAAGTTGAGTTTTTTTCTTACCAAACTATTAAGTAATCATTTGTGTCCCCGTTGTTGGATTAGGCAGTCGTTCTTATTAGCAACAAAGCATGAGTGTTCCACTGTTGAGTAACCATAAATGGAGGCAAAAGCAAAGGCTCTTAACGTTAGCCTTTTCATAGGTTACTGGGCAAGTTCTTCTAATTAATATCTCAAAATAGTAATAAATAGCTCACAGCAGTTTATACACTACCTTGTACCATCCCAGGGAGGCCAGAGTCCAGGTTGGAAACCACTGGAATGGGTGGTTTGCTATTCTCTACATTATGTCAAAATTCATGTTTTCATGACCACATGTGCCCCTTTACCCCTGCAAATCTCCTCACCTCCTCAGGGTCCCCAGTTCACCCACACAGCTCTGACGTCCCCTGGGGACCCAGAACTCCAGAGGTGGTAAGAAGCCAGGAGGATCTGTTCTCCCATTGTATGCCCTGGCAGTGAGCATGTATAATACTCAGATGTTCCCATCCCCTGTACCACACCTCCCAAGTTGCAGCCGAGCACCCTGCAAAATGCTTCTCACCCTGCTGTCAGATCAGAGGCCCCTGTTGTGAGCCCATGTTACAGATAGAGAAATTAAAGCTACCAGGGATAAAAGCACAACATGCCCCATCCCAGGGCAAGAAAACTTTGCACTGAGCTCCTGAGCCCTGTTCCTGCCCCTGACCTCACAGTTCCCGTAGAAGAAACTGGTCCCAGGTCTCCAGGCTCCTGGGAAGCACCTTTGGCCCTGTGGTCTCCTGAACCCCTCTCCGTTCACCAGCTTCCTCCTGTTTTCCTGGGTAGATAATCAGGGAGTGGAGCCCAAGCTTGCGGCTGCTGACGACCCGGACAGAGGCATGGAGAAGCAGGGAGAGCAGGTTTGCGGCCCCCCGCTTCGCTCCCTGGCCTTGCTGCTCCGCTTGCTCTGCCCCCCCCCCCTGCC